TTGTCTTTTATTTTTTATCCTGTTATTAATATTTAGCTGTAATTTCTTTGTAAAAAGAATACTTAGGATTTTCGTATTTTATTTGTTCAGCATACTCTGAAGAAATCATTAATGATCCTTTATTTATTTATTTAAGTTTACTTTTTTTTTTAAATTTTTTAATGCTTTATTTATTTCTGAGAGAGAGACAGCGTGAGCAAGGGAGGGTCAGAGAGAGAGGGAGACACAAAATCTGAAGCAGGCTCCAGGCTCTGAGTTGTCAGCAGAGCCCAGCACCGGCCTCTAACCCCTCCACTGGGAGATCAAGACCTGAGCTGAAGAGTCTCACAACTGCATTAAATTTAATTTATTTGTTATTTTACGGGGGAGGTTAGCTAGATTTCTTGCAGTGATCATTTCATAACATATTCAAATATTGAGTCATTTTGTTGTATACATGAATAACTTTCTTTTTTTAAGATTTGGATTTTTTTTTTTTTTGAGTGAGAGAGAGTAGGTGCAAGTAATCGGGCAGAGAGAGAGAGAAGTGGAACTTACATTTTACCTGCAGTGGGACTCCAGCTCATCCCAAACTGGGGCTTGTGCTCAACTAAGGTGGGGCTTGAGCTTACCAGATGTGGGACTCGAACTCATGAACTGTGAGCCTAAGTCAGATTCTTAATCACTGAGTCACCCAGGCACCCACCTGAATAACTTTTCAGCTGATTTAGTGGGTAAAAATATTTGTGAAACACATCTAGAAAATTTTGGCTTCATGTTCAGAACAAACAGGTTTGCAGCCTAGCTGTTTTTATTCCACAAACATTTCTGGAAATCAGAATTAAGATTACAGTATTACTCTAGCTGAAGATTTATTTATGCAGTTAAAGTATGTTCATAAATAGAAATGATGCAAGATTTCATTTTAGAAAGAGAAATAAGTATGCTTTTGAGGAAAGGACAGTGAGTAGATTTGCTTTCAGACATCTGATTTAACAGATAGAAAATTAAATACTGGTGTCTCTAATAAAAATTTATCAGGTCAGTAAATCTAAATATTTGTTTAAGTACAGATTTATCATGGGGAATGGTGTCAAGTTCTCACATTTGGGGTGCCTTGATGCAGTGGTACATGCACTTTTTTGTCTCTGGTACTAGTTGAACTAACCGGCTACTTTGGTGACTAAAGGTTTAAAATTTCAGAATTTAGATGTATTTTGGAAACCTCCCAGTGCCCTACCTTTCTTCCTCTATTTGAGCACACTTTGTGGATCTAAACTCTCTTTTGCTTAGATATTAAATGTATTGACTATCACTGGGATTCCTCGAAAATCATAATTTAAAAAAAATATTTAAGTTTATTTATTATGAGAGAAAGAGCACTAGTGGGGTAGGGGCAGAGAGAGGAAAGAGAATTCCAAGCACACTCCCACTGTCAACGCAGAGCCCGATACAGGACTCAGACTCACAAATTGGGAGATCGTGACAGTTGAGATCAAGAGTTGGATGTTTAACCGAGTGAGCCACCCAGGTGCCCCGAAAATCATAATGTTTCAAAAAAAATTTTTAATGTTTTATTTATTTCTGAGAGAGAGCATGAGCAGGGGAGGGTCAGAGAGAGAGGGAGACACAGAATCTGAAACAAGCTCCAGGCTCCGAGCTGTCAGCACAGAGTCCCGTGTGGGGCTCAAACTCACGGACCACAAGATCATGACCTGAGCTGAAGTTGGACGCTTAACCAGCAGAGCCACACAGGTGCCCCTAATGTTTATTTGTTTCTGAGAGAGGGTGTGCATGAGTGGGGAGAGGCAGAGAGAGAAGGGGTACAGAGGATCTGAAGCAGGCTCCCTGCTGGCTGCAGAGAGCCCAGTGTGGGGCTTGAACTCACAAGCTGTGAGATCAGGACCTGAGCTGAAGTCAGACACAACAAACTGAGCTGCCCAGGTACCCAGTTTTTTTTAATATTCAAGGATAGGTAATCACACTTTCCATAGAGTTGATAATTTAAACAAATATCCATTACAAAAAATCATCATAGGCTTTGCCAATACATGAGGCAATCATTCGTATCCTAAAAAAAGGAATAAATTTAAACATTTCTTTTAAAATTTTTTGCTTTTCCTGTTGTCGAACTGATAAAGCATGCTACATAAAACTTAGAAAAAAAAAAGAAACAAAATTACTTAAATAAATTTTATACCCCAAGTCTCTTGGCTTAATTCTTATTTTTGGAACTGTTGTGATCAGAAGTTTCCTTTTTGTCCAGTAAACATTAATTTTTGCTTTATATTAATGAAAAATTTCAGATGTATGGAAAATGAACAGTACTTACATTTTCCTCACTTAGATTCAACAGTTAATATTTTGCCATATTTCCTTCTTGCATATACACATTGTACTCTAAATATTTCAACATGTAACTTTTTAGAAACAAGACTTTTTCATTAACTGGTATGGTTTTCTTTTTTTCTTTTTTTTTTAAATTTTTTTAAAATAATGAAAAAAATTTTTTAGGGTTTTATTTATTTCTGAGAGAGAGCGAGAGTGAGCAGGGAGGGTCAGAGAGAGAGAGGGACACAGAATCTGAAGCAGGCTCCAGGCTCTGAGCTGTTAGCACAGAGCCCGACGCGGGGCTTGAACCCACAAACTGTAAGATCATGACCTGGTCGAAATCTGATGCTCAACCGACTGAGCCACCCAGGTGTCCCTGGTATGATTTTCTTTTCTTTTTTTTGAAGTATTTTTATTTATTTCTGAGAGAGAGAGAGAGAGACAGCGTGAACAGGGGAGGGTCAGAGAGAGAGGGAGACACAGAATCTGAAGCAGGCTCCAGGCTCTGAGCTAGCTGTCAGCACAGAGCCCGACACGGGGCTCGAACCCACGAACCGTGAGATCATGACCTGAGCCGAAGTCGGACGCTTAGCTGACTGAGCCACCCAGGTACCCCCCTGGTATGATTTTCTTAATAACACTCCTAGCTCAGTCCATATTCAGATTTCCCCAACTGAATGTCTTTATAGCTGATTGTGCAATTTGGACTCCAGTCAAGGAGTCGTGCAGTTGTGTGTGGTTTTTATTTTTAATTCATTTTTTAAAAAATTTCTTCACATTTATTTATTATTAAGAAACAGAGAGACAGAGCATGAGCAGGGGAGGGGCAGAGAGAGACACACACAGAATCCAAAGCAGGCTCCAGGCTCTGAGCTGTCAACACAGAGCCGGATGCGGGGCTCGAACCCACAAACTGCGAGATCATGACCGGAGCTGAAGTCGGACGCTCAACTGACTGAGCCACCCATGTGCCCCGTGTATGGTTTTTAAAACATCACATATATTTTTAAAAAGTTTGTACAAATTCAAACAAACTTCTGAACTTCTTCATATTTTACTTTTGTTTCTTGATTTGATCAATTCCAAATATAGAATTATTTATTTTACATTGCTGTAGAGGTAAAGGAAAAGGAGGCAAGTGGGAAGAGGAGAAATCTGAGACTCCACTCTTCAGGTTACAGCCAGGATATGGGATATTGTGCATCGTGCAGGTTTTAGAGCCACAGCCACATTCTCTCTCTCTCTCTCTCCCTCTTTTTTCCTAGTAGTTGAAAATCAAATCCAGGGACACTATACTTTTTACATCTCTGCTTTAGACTCTGGGATTCAGAATAGTGGAATGTGCCCTGCCCTCCAGGCAGCTGAAGTATTTCCTTTTCTTGTATATTTCTAAGCTAAATTCGCTGATACTTTTAGAAATATATTCTTGTAACCTGCTGATTTATTCAGACCCTCCCTTCTTCCAGGTTATAAAGAAATTATCCAGTAGATAAAGAAATGTTTTTGGTTGAAAACTGAAAGATTAACTGTAGTTTTTTAATTTTTTGTGAAATGTTTAAGAAACTTTAAGATTTATTTTATTCTTGGAGAGAGAGTGAGAGCAGAAGCAGGGGAAGGTCAGAGAAAGAAAATCTCAAGCAGGCTCCACACTCAGCGCAGAGCCCTACATGGGGCTCAGTCCCACAACCCTGGGATCATGACCTGAGTTGAAATCAAGAGTGACCATCTGTCAACCAACTGAGCCACCCAGGTGCTCCCCCACTTTTTTTTTTTTATAAATATGTAAGGAGTACCTCTATGTAAAACCATTAAAATAGGTAAGATTTGATGCAAACTTGGATTTTTCTTGAGAAAACAAGAGTTCTTGGTGGTCCTTGATCTTATTTGTAAAATATTCTATGATCTTTGGTACTTAAGAATTACAAAAGTTATGTGTTTATATATACATGTATGAGTTTTACTTTAATATCTTCTAAGACTATGTTTTAATTTCTATTTTAGTGGAATATTGGTGAACGATACTAAGTTAGATGGACCTTTATTACAGATTCTATTTATGAACAATGTTATTTCAAAGTAAGTGATTTTCCTTTTTCTACATATAATGAGTTAATGTGTTATGAAACATCTTCTATAATTATGCTGTATTTATTTGTACTTATTCCATTCCATTTTACTTAAATTTTGGGGAATTGTGAATTTTTTTTTTTTTTGAGAGAGAGGATGCAAGTAAGTGAGGAGCAGAGAGAAAGAATCCCACTCAGGCTCTGCATCATCAGCACGGAGCTCTAAGCTGCACTCCAGCTCGCCCCATGCAGGGCTCGAACTCATAAACCGGGAGACCATGACCTCAACTGACTGAGCCGCCCAGGCTCTCCTAGGGAATCGTGATTAAGAGCAAGAACATTAGAGTCTATAAACCTCAATTTGAATCTGGGCCCAGGTCACAACCCTGTCTGCGTATCAGTTTCCTGGCTGGAAAACAGATACGAGTAGTTCCCACTTCTTAGGTAGCTAAGTGAGTACCTGTAAGAGCCCAATAGCCTCTAATAAAAACAACAACTGGTACCACAGCAGTAAGTAATATTAGTCTTTTCTCCCCCAGAATCTGGTAACTGTTGGCTCTCTTCAAAGCTTACCCACATAATTTTGTGTTTGTGTGAATGTGTAAAAGAGAGAGAATTAGACCTTTGCAAGCCTTCTGGCATGCTTGGGTCAAGGGTGACTCAGTGCATTCCTGCGGTGCTTACTAGAATGTTCTGCAGTGTTTGGAGGCTTTGCCCCATCCCTTCCGCAGAGCATGGTCATAGACATTTCAGACAGTCGTTTGCCCCTCTCCTGAGTCACTGAATATTGTTCTCTTACTTGCGAGGCAAGGAAAAGAAGGTAACTGCATATGTAGAGTGTTAGCCGTGTGGCAGGCCCATCGCCTCCTTTATCTCTGCCCTGGTAGCACGTGCTGCTCTGAAGGGTGGGGACACAGGATGGTGACTGTGGCAATAGCAAGGTGCTGGACACAGCTGGTGGCAAGCACTGTCATCACCATTGGATTTGAATCAGCGTCCGCTCTAGCTCACGGAAGTCTCATTTATGCACAATATAGCTGCCATTTTACCTGCAGAGATCTCCGAGTGTCAGAGCTAAAGAGACCTAAAAGATCAAGTCTGGTGGAAGGGCAGGTTGGGTGGGTTCCGTGGGCACCTCCTGAACCTAGCGCTGACACATATTTGATGAACGTGATCCGTGACCTGGAAACCTGGGGAAAGTAGACCTCAGTAGTTTTTCTACTTCATTTTGCGTTTCTGTTGCATTTTGGTGTTTCTTCCAGTTTAACATTTTTATAGTATTTCCTTATGTGTCATAGGGAGTCTCTGGGAGGAAGACGGGAAGAATGTATTGGCTGTCTTTGCATTGCAGAAAAGGTGGCGAGGGCAGAGACCAGGAAGGAAGCCCTTCATTATGTAGCCCCTCTACCTCTTTTGGATTTTGAACCATGTTTTATGTAGATTATGTATTCAAAATTTAAATATGTAAAATTTATAAATAAAAATCCATCTATCCTCAGCACAGATACTTGCCACTGTTACATGCCAAACAGTGCCTTAGGTTACCATAATCATTATGTTAGCTCGGCAACAATGTATATATTTTTCTGAGGAATAGGTTCTTGACTGTTACAGTCAGTGATTTGATAAACCTCTGAAAATCAAGTTAACTGCATTTACTCCTGACATCCTCTAATAATGGGTAAGATTTCAGTCTGTTCTATGTTTCACTCTGGGTTCTGACTGTTGTGTCCTCTCATGCAGGCAATACCATCAAGAAATAGAGGAATTTGTGTCAAATTTAGTAAAAAGATTTGAGGAACAGCAGAAAACTGATGTGGAAAAGACCTCCTTTAATCTTTTGCCCCAGGTATTTCAAACATCAGAGACTTTACAGGTTATGCTTTTCACTGCCATCTGTTAGGCCCCGGGGATCCTCTTTTATCAAAATGAAATGAAAATGATTAAGTGCAACCACTGTGTCCTACACCTGAAACTAATATGCCATTGTATGTCACCTCCACTTAAAAGAAGAAAAAACAGGGTGGTTAAAACTGTTCACCTCCCATCCTTCAGCTGGGCTTCCTTCACTGATCTGACCGGTGCAGCCACAGAAAGTCCTTTGTATTGTGGCTCCTTTTCTCGGCGAAGTCCTATTCAGACCTGGCCACACTCAAAATCAGTCTTTTATCCCCCCATTGCTTCACTTGGACACATGGTTTGGGGCAGAAAATTTATTTTATTTTATTTTTTTAATGTTTTTTATTTATTTCTAGGAGAGAGAGAGAGAGAGACAGTATGAGCAGGGGAGGGTCAGAGAGAGAGGGAGTCACAGACTGAAACAGGCTCCAGGCTCTGAGCTGGCAGTCAGCACAGAGCCCGACGCGGGGCTCGAACTGCGAGATCATGACCTAAGTGAAAGTCGGACGCTTAACCGACTAAGCCACCCAGGTGCCCCCAGAAAATTAATTTTAAAGCAGAAAAAAAAAATCTGTATTTCTGGAGCTTATAAAAGATGAATTCTTCTTCTCTAAAACCAACAGGTTTACATGCTATCCTACTTTTCCCCTTTGCTGGTTGGAAAAAGCCGGTAGCATGCCCAAAGAATCAGAAATTTCACTATGTGAATATTAGAGCGTGAATTTTTATTTTGAAAAATCAGAATTATGATTTTTGGGCTTTTTTTTTTTTTTTTAATTTAAGGTAAGTAGAGTCTGTCAGATAAGGATTGTTAGCTGTGTATCCTGAGAAGTTAGGGAACCGTGTTCTGAGTAATTAAATTTTTATCACCGTAAGCTTTTACGTCTCTTAGACAGTTTTTAAAGATTCAAAAAACAAAATACATTTAACACTAAACACCATACCGAATATTACTTGAGTTTTGAATCAAGGAGCACGGCAGAGTTTTGTAGTGGTGTGGGGTCTGTGAGAGTTCTATCATCAGTATTGACCACTAATGTAAAATCGTAAACGTTTTAATCTTTCTGGTTATCTGATATTAAGATAGTCTACTTTGTCGGTTTCAGCATTGAGAGTTTAAATATTTGTTCAATTTAATACATGAATTAATACTCAGTAACACGGAAGTCAGAGTGTACGGAAATGCTTCAGAAGGTTCTGTCTTTTGTATCTTTTATAATTTTTAAATTCTCCTGCTTGTGAAATTTATCTCGCAAACGTCTCTAGCTTCCAAATTTACCCTGATTGTGACAGTGATGAATTCAGAACTTTATATACCTTAGTGGTATGTACTAGAAAATAAAGGGAGGTGTTTAAGTTTCTAATATTTGAAATTTGTGGAGTAATTAAAAATTGGTGACCTCCTGTAAGTGTGTTTTCCTTTGCCTTAGCCATCTAGTGTTATGCTACAAGAAGACCATAAAGTGGAAGAATCCGGTGCCATTAAAAACAACAAGGAAGCTTTTAGTGTAAGTTTGGACATTTTAGTTTTGAATCCTGCAGATACGTGTTTCCTATCCTGTGTCCTTTGGGTGGCATTGAAATGATAAGGTGGCATAGCCATGTGTCATCAGATGATCACCATCCTTTCATGAAATTGGTTACAAACAACAGTTTAGGCTTCAGCCTCTAACTAGTATGGTTTGCTTTCTAGTAACTACTGCACACGTAATAGGCAGACATTGAAGGACTTTATTTTTGTCCCGACGAATCTTTTCCTTGGGTGCATTTTCATAAACGCAGATGACAGTCTGGAGCGCGTGCTTGTTGCACGTACAGATGGGGAAGGATAAGGAATTTTACAGATGGCAGGTTGGAGATTAAAAATGTTGACAAACTCAAATGGTAGGTGAAAACTAGAAGCGTAACAGGGGTGAGCCTTCCCTCAGGCCTGTCGGTTCCTCTGCAGAAGTCAGCTGTGTCAGTGCAGTGGAGCGGTGTGATTTTGCAGCCTCGTTCTTTTCTTCAGCAGATGATGTGGTCCTGGATCCTGTCCAGGGCAGACTAGTTTTCATGTGTGGAGAGTGACGTGCCCATGAACCCACCACAGCCTTAAGGACCTGGGCTGCTAGGACGGTGATGAGCCCACAGCGTTACTGCAGGATATTGACAGGATAGCGTGTCTCTGCAGATGTGGCCGAGGCGTCACGTTAGATCACTCCCTGCGGGGCCCCACCAGGGCCAGTGACTGCCCGGACCACAGGGGCAGGCACAGTGCGACTCCGCCGTCGGTGCAGACTGCTGTCAGAGACGTGAGAATGAAGTGGTAGGCCTCATTTTAAAAAAGCAAATTCCACATGACTGAGAGAGGTCAAAGACCGAGATGCCGTCAGGGTGCTCTAACGAAAGAATTTGAACTACGTAACTTTCCATGTCCCTTCTAACTCTAGGGTTCCGGGCCACAGAGTGGTACCTGCCTCAAATGTGGGGACTGTTGTGTATTATTAATTTTGTCCTTTAACAAATACTGATAAACATCAAAAGCTCCCTTGTCAGGGACCCTTCTGGGTTCCAGAGACAGCAACGAAAATAAAAGGACAAAGTCTGCTCTCATTGAATTAATTCTAGCGGGAGAGGCAGTGCTCTGAGGAAAATAAATGAGGGTAAGGAGTTCGAGGCTAACTATGGGGCATTTGGTTTGTATGGTGAGTAGATAGTGACAGCCTCTCTGAGCCGAGACCTGAAGAAATAGAGGGAGTGAGCTATCGGGCAGTGAGGGGTATCCCAGACTCCAGACGGTAGGAACGGTGTGGAAAGCCCTGGAGCAGAAGCAGACACTGACATGTTGCTCACTATTTACCGAGTACTGTTCTAAGCTCATTACAGATACTGCTCATGAAGGTACTATTAGTATTCTCATTTCACAGAGGAAGAAAGAGATGTGGAGAGCTGAGTAACTTGCCCTGGGTCCCTTAGCTAGTAAGTGACAAAGCCAGGGTTTGAACCCAGGCCTTCTGTTTCTGGAGCAGAAGATGGAAATCTTGCCTCAAAAGCGATAGTAAGGACTTTGGGTGTTACTCTGAGTGAGAGGAGAAGTCACTGGAGGATTTTAAGAAATGTGACATGGTGCGACTTGAATTTTTAAAAGAGCTGGCTTCTCTGTGGAGAACAGTGTGTAACTCTGCCGGTTACGTGTGGAAGCTAGAAACCGGTTAGGAAGTGAGTGTTGATCTCAGGTGAGAGAAGAAGGCAGGTCGGTCTAGAGGACCAGGGCTGGACGTGAGCGGTGGTTAGAAGCTGGATCTGCCTGGAAAGGAGAACTGATCAAATGTGTTGACGAACTGGATGTGTGGAAGGCAAAAGTGAGAGAGTCATCAGAATGACGGTCTGAGCAGCTGGAGGGAGGTCCTTGCCTTCCCTGTGACAGGAAAACTGGCCAGAGGCACAGCTTTGGAGGGGAATGGGAATCCGGTTAAGCTTTAAATACGTGAGTTTGCATGTCCTAGACACCTGTCAGTTGGCAACTGGAATATACAGGTTTAGAGCTGAGGCAGAACTGGGTATTTGAGGGCATTCCATATACTTGTACTTCATACCATGGGCCTGGTGGACAAATCGCCTCGGGAGTGCAGGTAGAGAGGGGGACTGGACCGAGTCTCACAGGACACGGAGAAATGAGAAGGATTGGTCAGCAGGGTAGAAGGAACACTGAAAGAAGGGTGTCCTGGAAGCCAGAAGAAGTGACTGTCCTGTGTCACTTGTGGCTGACAGAGCTGAAGACTGAGCCGTCCACTGAGTTTGGCTGCATGGTGATCATCAGGGAGCTTAGCACCACGAAGGGGATGGAAGCCTTCCCAGATGGAAGCCTCTCCCAAGAGAGA